GCATTTTGCTATGACAAAAAAAGTGTATTATTTTTAATGTATCCGATGCCTCTTTTGAGGGGGGACAGATCCCCCACCACAAATATTTTGTGAAGGTCCCTTTGTAGGTTTCTGCTTATATACTGCTATTGGAGCTCCGCTATTAGGTGTTACCTAATTTTTATATTACGCTATAAATGTTTTTTTTTTCGTGTGCGTCTATTTAACTGTGTTTCACGGTTTTAATAACTTCGTTTTGGTTTAAAATATTCAGTCTTGGAGTATGTAGACCATTTAAACATACGATAGTGTTATTCCACTGTATGTAAAGTACTATTATGATTTTACACAGTGGGGGMCTCGGGCGGCCATTTTCAGTTTACCGAAAGTCTATAAATTGTACTGTGCGTGTCGAATTTTTGACCATGTCACTTTTCTAAGCACTTTAAACGCTAATATAAGAGTTTTCAACCGTCTTACCTCGTTTTTTGGTGATATTTAGATACCAGAAGTATTTTGGTGTAAATCATAACAATAACAGAGGCTCGCAAAGCATTATGGTGCAAATTGGSCGATTTTCTCACATCTTTTAATCGTGATTTTAAACTATACTGGCCATAAGTAATCATTGTTGTTCAGTTGGAAAGACAARGACAGCAACAGACTCATWTGCATACATTATAATTTTAATTTCTTTGCAAGAATAATCAACACAAAGTTTCAAAACATTTTTTACAGTGTCAATAACAATAGATTCATCGATTGAAGTCATTTAAACCGCGAAACAAATTATGTTCATTGAAGTGTGATAGTCAAATAGACAAAAGGAAACAATACAATTCGACTGTAGTATATCAATTTCACGTCTTTTCTTAGTATATAGAGCGGATTTCGTATGAGTGGGACACCGTTACCGCACGGTTACCGCACAGTTACCGCACCTGGCCTGCACAATTTTGGTGAACCAATGGGGCACTAGAATTTGGTTACAGTGTACGATTACGGTCACTGTACAGTACCGTCCGTTTCCCACTCATACGAAATCCGCTCTATTGGATATATCTGTTTAATCAGTTATACCAGTGAAACAAAGWCTAATCGTCAAGTTGTAATAGTCAATTAAAAACAATGGACAATAAAGTGATTTTCATCCGAATTTAAAATAATAGCATGCTTGAGT